TTGACGATTGATTTAGGCGATTAAGGTTATTTTATGTCTAGGTTTAAATCTAGATCTATATCCAAAATTAATCTTCAAATTTGATTCAGATCTATTAAAACAAAATTCATAGTCATGAAGAATGGAAAATAGATCTATAACAGAGAAAAAGACGAAGAAAATTTGCACGGTAAAAATAGATCGGGAATTCAAATTTTACTGTAATTCATGAAACCTCAAATCGGATGAACGAATTAGCTAGACAGCTTCAACAAGATGTTATAGTTCCTTTGTGTAGAAAAATGTAAAGAGAAAATTCCAAGAGAGAAGACATACTTTAGAGAAACTTATAGAGAAAACAACTCTAAAATCTTTAAAATGAGGTATAAAGTGTAAATAACAAGCCTCACAACACCTATTAATATAGAAATATAGTGGGTCTAATAAGAATATTTACAAGGCTCAACCCACTAAATCAAATAATTACATCACTAAACAAATCCTAACATTACATTCTAAAAATAAAAAGAAAATATTATGCAAAGTCGCAACTTTGCAATGCATTTTTGAGTTACTTAATGTTTGAACTGGCATTTTTACCCAATAGAGAAGTTTTAGAACTCTCTTATCTTTCCAAGGACACTAATAACATCCAAATCCAATGTCAAGAGCTCTAGATATAGCCCACACAATAAACAATGTCAAAATAGAAAAAGAAATTATAAAAATTAACTAGAATTTACAACTAAGACCAAAATGACCTACTAGAACAAATCAAAGCTAATATATCACAATATGATATTAATAAAAGTCAAATAAATAAATAAATAAAAATGCATAGAAAGATATACAAAAATTGGTTTATCAATCCCTTGCGGTACCCAATATTTTGTTACCTTCATTGATGATCACTCGAAAAGGTTGTGGGTTTCTCTATGAAAGACAAAAAATCAAGTTATTCAAGACACCTTATGAATGGCCTAGCGAATAGTATAGAGGTTTATTTGAGCATTATTGTATCTGCATGTGCTTGAACTGGTAGAAAGTTAAAATATTTAAGAACACATAATGGTAGAGAGTATAAGAGTCTATTTAAGCATTATTGTAAGTCTCATGGAATAAGACATAAGAAGGTACCTCCCAAGATGCACATATGAATGGTATAGCGAAAAAGTTTAATAGAACGATTGTAGAAAATGTATGAAGCATGCTTGTGAATAACCAATTTTATCTAAGGCATACAAACAAGGAAAAGAACTTCTATTATCAAGAAAAAGAGTTCCCAAAATATGGAAATAACATGATATGACATCAGAAAGCCCAAAGCCCAATAAGGATGATTTAGTAGCCCAGAATGGGCTGTTCCCAAAATGGAACGGGTCATTCTCAAACTGGAATGGGGCATTCCGAACCACCAAAAAGGTCTAAAAGTCTAGTTTGGAACGGGCCGTTCCAACATGGCAATTATGAGTTAAAACTCAACTTTAGAACGGGTCGTTCCAGATGTGAAATTAACACATGATGAATGGATCCAGAACGGCCGTTTTGAATCTGGAACGGTCCATTCTGGCCACTTTTGATATCTATAAATAGAAGACTCGGACACTGTTCTCAGGCGGGGCAAAAAAAAATTGGTCTAAGATTCCTTATAGCTCGAAAACCCTCTCTTTTTCTCTCTCTTTGTATTTCTTAAGATCTGTGAGGCATCTGTGTAGTGTGAAAGGTAGCCAAAAAACACCTAATAGATTCTCATATTTGAAGATTCAACACGATAACAAGTTCAACAATTTATTCGCCTCATATTTGGTATCATATTCTTTTCTTAACTTTTTTTTATTTGTTGAAAATAATTGTATGTACATAGTGAATATGATTTGTTGTCTTCAAGATTATTGTTTAGAAAGTATTCAATATACAACAAATAATAACGTTAATTGAATAACATTTTTGTCTTTAAGTTATTTGATTACGAGAGTTTAATGACTAGCCACTTGTTAGCTTGAATTCTTGTGTAAAGATTATTTCAAAAAAATTAGTAACGTTAATTCTATCTTTAGCGTTATTATGATTGTTCAACGTTTATTTATTTGTTAACTTAAATTATTATGCAAGTTTCAAATAAAAATGCAAAAAAAAGTTTCTTTTTTTTTCTTCATCTATAAAATTTATATATAAAACGTGACAAAATATATTTTTAGGATAAATTTTATAAATTTATGTAATTTTGTGCAATTAATTAAAGGTACTGTGTTTTTACAAGCGTCGTAGGATGCTAATACCTTCCCTACACGTAATTGATTTCCGAACCCAATTTTGATTTTAAAGGTTATTTTTAAAAGGTTTTTCAATGTTTTTCCCTTAAAATAAAATATTGGTGGTGGCTCCACTGAAAAATAATGTTTGTGTCATCTCGTCGTGATTTCGGTTACGACAATGTTTTCTCATGCAAAACTTCCTAAGTCATTTTGAGGAGAGGCTCTAAAAACTGCTACTGATTTGATCAACCTATCACCTTCAAGACTATTAAATGGAGAGATACTAGATGAAGTATGGTTTGGAAAGAAAGCCTCCTATGATCACTTGAGAATCTTCTTTTGTAAGGCTTTTATTCACATTTCAAAAGATGAAAGAGCAAAGCTTGACGCAAATGCGAAACAGTGCATATGCCTTGATTCACCAATAGATGAATTTGGTTTGAGACCATGGAATCCTACAAACAAGAGAATTGTTTGAAACAGAAATATGGTGTTCTTTAAGGATCAAATAATCCAAGATATCAAATAGTTTAAGAAGTCAAAGTTCAAGGTGATTCCTAATCAAAGTCTTGTAAGTTCAGAAGGAGAAAATCCCTAAATGAAATAACAGATGAAAGAACATGATAAGAGATTAGATAATAAGACAGCCTGATGAGACAAATGAACTACTTGATCAAACAAATGAAGAAAAAATGATGGAGAATGTTTAGATAAAACTAGAATCTCAAGTGAGACGATCCATAAGAAATAGACAACCATCAATAAGATATTTCTCAGACGACCATGTCAACCTCGTTGATGAAGGAGAACCTAAAAAGCTTTGAAGAAGCTATTATGGCGACTAAGTCAATACCAACTATCAAGGTTGAAGATTGTTGCAAAAATATTGGTATAATGATGTTTTTTGATTAAGAAAGGAAGAGAAAGATTTCTTAAGTTCAATAAATATTTATTATATTTATTATGATTGTATTTAATAATATAATTTAAGTTAATTGTATATTACATTGAATCAATATTATAATTGATATATTATTGATGAAATTGACTTTTCAATATCATTAAATATTTTATTTGTTCAATATAAAATATAATTAAACTAAATTTTTTTTGGCTAATTCATATTCCAACTTCTTATATTCACTCAAAATATAAGAAAACATATTATTTCCCTTTTTTTTCATAAAGACACGAAGAAATAACTTTTTGGAACTCATTTTGTATTAATATAAAATTTTGTATATCTATAACAAATTTTTAAAAATAATTATTTAATTAAATGTTATTAAACGATGTAATAGTTAATAAAAATTACACCAATATTATTTAACTCTTCTATATGTTACTATAAGCCACAACAAAAGTAAAAGAAATAAAACAATACATATTGTTACGCTAGTTGTCACACCCTATTTAACTTCCGCAAAGTAAAAATTTATGAGTTAATCACTTATACACTGTTAGTATAAAGTTTTTTTACATTGGCAACCAATTATATCTTTTAATTGTGTCATGTCACTGTAAACACATTTACTTTTAATAGTGTCATGACACAATTAAAAGATATAATTAGTTATCGGTAGAAAAAAACTTTACACTAGTAGTGTATAAGTGATTAACTCAATTTATTTCAAACCAAAAGTGATTAGTATTATAAACTACCTGTTGTGATAAAAAGCCCATCTTGAAACACAACTCTTTTTCATCTTAAAAGAAAAAAATATTATTTTAACATAAAAAAATATACAAGTCATGTTACGGAACATTTTTTGCCTTTCAAATAAAAATATGATAAACTCACAAGACTTCTATTTATAGTTTAATTAAATAAACTTTTTTATAAGTGTGTTTAAAAGAAAAAAATAAAGTAAAAAATGAAATATTTATTTTTATAAATTAAAATAAATTTATTCATAAATTAAAAATTGCATAAACTATCTCATATTAATTTTTTTGAAAAATTAATTTTAATTTATACATAAAATTAATTTTAATTTATAAAAAAATACATTTTATTTTTTTCTTAAAAGTATTTTTTTGGAAGAGTTTATCTTAACTTACCAAAAGAAAAATTATATCTTAAATTTTCTTTTCAATTATTTTATTTTTAAATATAATGTTTTAAATGAGTAAACATTAAAATTTAATAATTAATAAATATTAATTTAATAAAAATATTAAAATTTTATATTTTAAAATTAAAAATTTAAATATCTGTATTTTAAAATAGAATAACTAAAATTATATATTATTAAAATTTGAAGAATCATACGTGTAATTTAGAAGAAAAAAAATGTAAATCTATAATTATTATAAAAGGGATATAGGAGATGTAACCGCTTTTTGATTTCTATTTTTTAATGGATCATTATACCCCATATAAAAAATGTTAAATATTTTTTAAGGAGATATAGAAGATGTAACTACTTTTTGGTCTCTATTTTTTAATGAATTATTATACTTCAAATATAAAAAAATCGTAAATTTTTTTAAATAATTATATACAATTTTCTAATATTTTATTAATAAATAAATATTAGAAGCACGAGTGTCTCTTTCTAGTAATAAAATAGTGAGAATAGAATTGAGTGCGATAAGAAAATAGTGAAAAGAGAATTGACGGTGGTATTGCCTCGTAAACCACAAACTGCAGAGACGAGAATTGTCCACTTTCTCCTTTTCGTTTGTTTCTGTAACCGAACGAACAACTTCCAATTATTCAAAATTCCTACGGTTCTTCCGATTCTCCTCAGCTTCCAGGTTCTAATCCCTCTCACACTCTCCATGCTTTCTCTATTTTTTTCAGCTTCTTAATTTTCTCTACCCAATACTCAAATTCTTTATTTGATTACTCATTCCATTCATTGCTTAACCCTAAAACCTTGTTTTCTCACTTGTGCTCAGATTTGGTATGTGTGTATATATGCATTAGGATTTAGGCGATTGATTCAAGTTCTGTGCTTTTTATTGTTTGGTGTGTTTATGATGTGGCCAATGGTTTGTGGAATGAACTTAACTGAGTTTTGAGAGAAAGTGGGTGGTGCAAGTATTCAGCTCTGCCATTGTGTAATCTCTTGTTTTCCAACGGTTTTGGTTTAATTTCTGCACTTTCAAGTGTTTTTATATCGTTTTGATCCATTTGTCTATAGTTCCAGAAATTCTATGATTAGTTTTGCAATATTGTTAAAATATCATTGGATAATGGTGTCAAAAAGCTGTACAATTTGCGATGACAGGAATCAAATTTGAACTTTGTGGCTGTGCTTTTAGACGATGGAAAAGGATGGAATCAATGTTGCTAACTCGGGATTCTACCTGGGATCAAGAGGGGGTGAAAACTCGTAACATATGGATCATAACTCAGATTGTAAGATCCTACCTAAAATGCAAAATTTTACTTATTTATACTATATACACATCCATAAAAATATTTCGAAATCACAACATTATACATACATATGTTGAAAAAACATAATCATCATCACAAGTCATAAGGTCCAAATACAGTGCATAACAGAACACACAACATAAGTTCATAATTCAGAGACTGAGTGAGAGAAGGCAAAGACTGAGACTGAAAGAAGGGAGAGAATGAGAGTGCAGAACCAGCTGTTTGCAATTCAGATGCAGGCAGTGGCGCAGGGCAGAGATAGCTGGGTGGAGGTGGGGCGGTTGTGGTTTGCATCAGCTAAGAGAACTTAGGGTTGCAGATGAACTGAGAAAGGGATTGAGTTTGTGTGTGAAGGGGAAAAGGGAATTTTAGGTTTTTAAAACTGGGTCAAAAGGGGATCTGACCCTGAAATCTGAGTCTGCTCCCCTTGCTAGGGATTGCAGATCCCACGATCTCATGATTAAAATCAAGATTTTACTCTGATCCCAATTACAGGCTATCCAACGAATGCTTCATGACAGAAGAAGAGGCTCAACTCATAGGATCATACAATACTACCCTATGATTTAACTCATGATCCTAACAACGATGATTGAATGAAGGCAAGTAGACTGGAATAACAATTGAATGAAGGGAAGTAGAATGGAATAACAACAATAGTATCTATTCCTACTTAAGTTAGTAGAGAGCTTAGCTCGCAGGTTTTTATCCCCAATTCTAAAGGTTTTCTGGTTTCTGGCCAACACATGACTTCTGCTGCAATGCTTTGTTCCTTCCCTGCAACAGTGCTCTGTTCTCTATCTGAGACTGAGATTCTTTTGGCCTTTCACATGTCTTTCATCTTTGTTCTTTGGTGTGCTCTCTTGTCTTTAATTTTTGAGCAGTTGCATATGTATAATATAATATTTACATCTTGTACCTATAATATCAGTGTAGTGGCTATCCCACCATAGTGTTTTTGGGGTTGGCAGCTACTCACTCACTGCTACCCAGGATTGATAACTATGATTTAAAATTTTAAAGCATTCCTTTCCTTCATAACATGTAGCAGAGACATAATACATCATGTTCTGTTTTGATATAATTAGAGATTGCTGTATTTTTTATCAACTGTACTTAATATGTATACTGCACTGATTTTCTTCTGTTGCTGCTGCATTCTTCCCCCTTACTTGTTTTCCTTTGGTATATTTAGAACACAGGTCGATGGAGGGTACTGAGCCTGATATAAAAAGGCACACCCTGGAAGATGCAGAAAATGATTGTCCAATATCACCTGAGGTGCTGATCGATATGGAGCAGGAGAGTCAGACTCAGAACCCCAATGATTCCTCTCTCACAGACACTAACAAGGTCATTGACACCGAGAATGAATGTACAGGTCCAAATATATGTCCTGCCAACCATAGTTGCATTGAAATTAATGATGAATGCCGGACATCAAATACTTTCCTTGATGACAAATTTCACACTAATGTCGGTAGTGCACAGTTGTGTGAAAAGCCCCATGCTACCTCTGTTGATATATCAATGAATGGTACTGATGTAAAAAATGAGGAGGAAATATTTGTGGCACCAACGATTGGCATGGAGTTTGAATCAGAAGACAATGCTTACAAATGTTATAGCAAGTATGCTGTCCTGAAAGGTTTTAGCATAAGAAAGGATTTTGTCAACAAAAGTAGGATAAATGGTGCAGTGGTGTCCAGAAGATACACCTGCTACAGACAGGGTTATCGTCCTAACAAAAATGGTACACACTTGAGGAAATTGCAGCAGGAAACAAGAACTGGTTGTTTGGCACACATGACTATTGCTCGTCAGCCAAATGGCAAGTTTCGAGTCACTCATTTTGAAACTGAGCACAATCATGAGTTTGTAACACCCTGTACTGCACATATGTTACCATCACAGAAAAGATTGAGTTTTGCTCAAGCTGTTGCAGCAAACCTAATAGAGTCCAGGTTGGATGGGGTACCAAAACTGGGAATGGGATTTGACACAGAGGAGCATGCATATGAATTTTATAATACATATGCTGGACGTGTAGGTTTCAGTGTAAGAAAAGATTATGTAAATAGGAGTAAAGTTGATGGTGCTGTGGCATCCAGGCGGTTTACCTGCTTCAGAGAAGGTTTTCGGCAAAAAGACAAGCGTGATATGAATGTAAAGAGACCACGTAAGGAAACTAGAATTGGATGTTTAGCACAACTGGTAATTTCTCGCCAACCGGATGGTAGGTATCATGTTACTCACTTTGAAGCAAAGCATAATCATGACCTAGTTGCTGCATGTAGAGTGCATATGTTAAGATCACAAAAGAGGTTAGCATCAACTCAAGTCGAAAAGAACATTGTAGATGGATCCAATGTGCCGCCTACATCATCCTCTGAATCCAATTGCAAGACTATTATTGAAGGGGTTGCTGATCTGGATTATGATACCATAGGTCATGAATATAAACTGCCTTTCAAATGTACAAGTAAAATAAAAGAGGGAGAAATTGAAAAGATTAAGCATCACTTCCAAATCAAGCAATCAAAGAATCCTTCTTTCTTTTATGCTTTCCAGCTTGATGCTGATGATCAAATAACTAATATATTTTGGGCTGATACAAAGATGATGGTAGACTATAGTGATTTTGGTGATGTTGTTTGTTTTGATAGTAGTTATAAATATTATAAGGACTCACGGCCATTTGTTCCATTCCTTGGTATAAATAATCACCAGCAAATGACTATCTTTGGGGCTGCACTTCTTTATAATGAATCTGTAGAATCTTTGAAGTGGCTGTTTCGAGTTTTCATGAAGACGATGTCTGGAAGCAAGCCAAAGACAATCCTTACAGGTCAAGATGTAATAACAGCTGAAGCAATTAATTCCATGTTACCTCAAACAAATCACCGAGTTTGTGTGTGGCATGTCTATCAAGATGCCCTCAAGCAGCTGAGTCATGTTTCTGTTGGATCTGGTTCTTTTGTAAATGATTTGAGAAGCTGCTTTTTTGATCATGAGGAGGAGGAAGATTTTGTTAATGCGTGGAATGCTATCCTGGACAAGTATGATCTGTGGGAAAATGAATGGTTGCAACAAATATATGAAAGCAGAGACCGATGGGCCATAGCATATGGAAGACAAATTTTTTGTGCTGACATAGTAAGCATGCTACTGAGAGAAAATCTTACTGGTAACCTGAAAAAGTACCTAAAGCTTGACTCGGACATTCTTCCGCTTTTCAAGTATCTTGGGAAGGTTGTTTCTGATTGGCACTACAAGGAATTAGAAGCCAATTATGATATGAACCAGCATATGCCACCCCTCATGGGGGATATTATTACGTTGAAGCATGCAAGAGCTCCATACACACCAAAGATATTTGAGTTATTTCAGAAAGAATATGAAGCATGTTTGAATCTAGTGGTAAATCATTGCACTGAGAGTGGATCATTGTATAATTATAAAGTTAGCATATATGAACAGGTACGAGAGTATACGGTTACTTTTGATTCTTCTAATGAGACAATCAGTTGCAGCTGTATGAAATTTGAGTATGTCGGAATCTTATGCTGCCATGCATTAAAAGTCCTTGACTATCGGAACATAAGGATAGTCCCATCCCAATACGTCTTAAAGAGATGGACAAAAGATGCTAGAGTTTGACCTCTCTATTTTTGGAGGCAAATTGAACTAGTCAACTTAAGGCTTTTAGATTAACCAGGGACATCATTTTGTAACCCTTACTGATACAAGGTAGCATTTCATTTGCTGCAAAAATTTTAAGTTAGAAAACATGTAGCCTACGTATTAATATTATGTGAAAACTGTATATCATCTTCCTGAAAGGTTAGTTGCATTTGTATGTTGCAGATCACAATTCAGAAATAAATGATAACACAGTTTTGTTGACGAATGTTACAATAAATTTGATACACACAAAAAATAATACAACTTTTTTTAAGGAGAGGTTAATTGAAACAACACATTCCTTCCTTTTTATGATTACTGATTATAAGCCAATTTGATTGTATCTCTATTACGGTGTACTCTATATATTAAACCAATCTGGCATTCATGCTGTCGAATTTTTATATGCTATTCTCGTTTCTAAGCACACACATTCACACTTTGAAAGGAAAAGATTTTGCTTCAATTTGAGCACGACTTCTACAAAAAAAATCCAATACATTTCACCCACAACATCACGTAAGCTATGCCCAAATGGCTTACAAAACATTTCGAAATAAAGAATTCGCTCAACAATGGTAATAAATGGGAAACACATTTCAATAGTAGAGGGGCCAGAAAAAGATATGGTGAGGGTAGAAACAAAAAGGAAAAAGCAGTTAGAAGGCTACTAATGACCAATGTTGCTATATACCCGGAATACAACAAGGATCATACTTAAGATCTTTGGGGTCTAAGTAATGTGATACAACCCCCCATCTCCGTTAAGCTACATTTACAAGGTTACACTGTTCTTCCCGCTGCTAGAAGAAGCAATTTGACAAATGATCAACATGGTTAATATTTGAAGATTCTACCATTCTGGTATCCATGCTGAATATTCGGTGATGTATTCTCATGTGCTGAAATCATTGTGGAAGTTGAAGTTAGAGGATGAGTCAAGGTGCGACCACTCTTTCAACGGAAATACTTGGTGCCAGTGATTTT